GGGGCAGGGTGAAGACGCTTCCAATCTAGGACCCTTTTGCTTGGTTTCTGAGGATAGTGCCCCCATGCCCTCCCCCCCCCCACTTGTTTTTTAAATAGTCTCTCTCCAGGAAGAAGGGCGTCCAATTCTATTTCTGATTCTGGGAAGTGAGGAGGGCCAATGTGTTGCCATGGTAACCTGAAATCCCCTCCCCCCCAGGCTAAGCCCATTCCCCAGGCTGCAGGCCTGGGAGGGTGGGGTGGAATGGGGTGGCAAGGAGAAGCTGAGGAATTCGGTTTTAGGGTGAAGTCAGTGTCTCCCCTGGGAAGGCAAATGCCCAGCTTGGCCTTTCCTCTTACACTTCACCCCACTTTCCCAACAGGCACTGTGGGAGACCCAACAGAAGAAGATCCAGTCACCGGGGGAGAAAATTTTCTCCCCTGTGCATCAGGCTGAAGCCCTGTCACCTAATAGGGCCCTAGGAAATGCGGAAGTGACAGAAAGGGCATCGAGGGGAGACTATGTTCTACTAGGAGTTCTGTGACCCCGAGGTCAGCCTGGCCTGCTTGCCCAACACAGACCATATTTTGGGCTCTGCTGTATCCTTAAGAGGCAGCTAGCTCTTAGCCCTGTTTCTGCAGCCTTCGGGTGCACCTGCCTTCCACACTCGGGGCCCTGGGAATGCTCTAGACATCTGGGAAAAGACGGCTCGGAAAACCTAAGATCAGAAGGCGCCTTCAGTGGCCTCGTAGTGTAGTCCTATACTGAACAATGGATCAGAAACTGAGGCTTATTTCCCTGGGGCTTTGTCTCTGGGTCATGTACATCAGCTGAAGTGCTCCCAAGGCTGCAGATCCGCTGTGTTAGATCTGTGTAGGGAGGGCATCCCATCTAACAGAGCAGAGCCCAGACAAGGGAAGGCTTCTGAAATGACCCTAAAGGTTCTTGTGACCCAACCCTGTCTCGATGCTGATGGGAAATTGAGAAGGGCCTCAGTTTCCTAGTTCTGTGCTCCCTTCCACTTCTCTCTGGAGCAATGTAAGAGACCCTAAAGCCCTAGACCATTGGCAGCCCTGCAGTTTATCCTGGCCAAGGTTCACTCATTCCATGGAGGCGAGGCTAGTCTGTAAGGGAGTTAGCAACTCTTGCTACCTGTCCCACCTCCACCACCCCAGAGGAAGACAGCCAGAAAAGAGACCCCCCCAGTCTCAGGGAATTTAGAGAAGGTGAGGCGATGTGGAATCTGGGATGTGGAAGGCAGAAGCCACTAGTGTTGGAAGGCGATGGCTTCTGAGCTCTAGGCACAGAGAAATTTAAATAACAGATGTTTAAACAACCTTCCCTGCAAGCCGCCGGTGCAGTGACCCCTCTGCTGTGATGTGTTGCAGCTTAAAAATAGCCCACGATGAACTGCTCTGAGCCCCAATTGACTCAAGCTTACGTAACTCTGCGTGAAAGATAGCCAGCCGCATCAGCCGGAGGGAGGGCAATGGCACAGCCTCCCTGACTACTGCTCACAGCTGGCTGTGCCTTGCCTCTACCGGGAGCAGACCCCCATCCAGAAGCCAGCATAAGTAAGGGGTGAAGGAGTGTTGCCAAAAGCACACGTGACTTCATGGCTTCAGTGCAGAGATTTGCAACCAAGCCTGCAGAGGGGATGTGAGGAGAGCCAGGGACCTGAAAAGACCTAGACCCTGTGGAGAGGAATTGACGAGATAGAGACCAGAATGCCCGCTTGACAGGGTGGCTGGAACTGCCCAGGGTATTCATGCTCCCCTTTGAGAAGGGGCCTTCTTGACAGAACAGGTCGGCAAAACTTATTAATGATTGACCAACGCCAGTACTGCCATAGAGCCCAGGGATGAAGCTAACTCCTTTGAGACCTCCAGTTCTCCAAGGCACAGCAACATCCCTGGAGGAACTAGTAGCATGAGAGAGGGAGTGCTGACTTCCAAGCTAATTGAATCCTGTGATATTTGCTATCAGCTACTTCTCTATTGGATGCTTAGATCCACAGCTGGCTGCAAGCCTGTGCCAATGGCTAAGCCAACTGGAAGGAAGGGGGGGGTATCTCTTTGACACTGAGAACACTGGTACTCACTGGTCCCTCTGCCGGTACCCATGCTGAAGCCCTTTAATGAGTCAGTAACTTCACTCAGTTCCTACCAACGGAACTCAAAATAGGAATCACCGCAGGCCAGATCCCCTGCGGTCCAGTGGAGCAAGAGTGCGACAAAACATATTGGGAATCTCAGGCCAGACTTATGGTTCCCCTTCAAAGCAGGTCAGTCCACTCATTGCATGCCTTCCAGGTGCTAGACGACAGTGACACCAATGGGCAGTCAGGAGGCTGTGAGTCATCAGCTGCTTTCTTAGTCCCAGCTGCCACCATGGCTTCCCCTGGCCTTTGTTGGCATTTGCTTGCCCCTCGGCCCCACTGGTTTGTCCCAGAAGGAGACAAGACATGTTCATTTGTTTGGAACAGAATCTCATGTTGTCCAAGCTAGTCTTGGGCTTATTATGTACCCTTCAGCTCTTGATCCTCTTGCCTCTGCCTCCCAAGTGTGGATTACAGGTGTGCACAATCATGCCTGACTGGAAAGGTTAGTAACTTGCTGTCCACAGCTCTTGGTGGGAAGGTTTGACTTCAGAGTCCTGGAAGAAAACTCTAATCATGCCATCCTAACCTGGTGAGAGGCCCAGGCCTGGCAAGGCCATTAACCTAGTTCTCCTTTCCACTAGTCAGTTACTGTACCTGAACAATCTCCCAGCCACACTTCCACACACACACACATGCACGCGTGCACATACATATGCACACATATGCATTTATGCACATGCATGCACATACACTTAAACACACATGCTAGAAGAGAGGCAGTCCAGCCTTGCTCAGTCAAAAAGATCATTCAGAGCCGGGCGGTGGTAGCACACACCTTTAATCCCAGCACTTGGGAGGCAGAGGCAAGCGGATCTCTGTAGGTTCGAGACCAGCCTAGTCCACAAGAGCTAGTTCCAGGACAGGCTCCAAAACCACAGAGAAACCCTGTCTCGAAAAACCAAAAAAAAAAAAAAAAAAAAAATAGGCCATTCAGAAACCTCCTAGTATGTCAAACCCATCTGGAAACCTAGAACCTCCCTATATGACCCCCTGCCCCTGCAGCTCAGGCACCAATTTGAAACAGTTTCAATTCCTGACACCCTAGAATCTAGAGCCTATATGGACTTGGAACTAGCAAATGGCTGAAAATGGAGCTCAGAGCCTGGGAGCTGTTGAATGTGTTGTGGGGTACAAACCAGTACCCCCAGTATCTGTTTAACTGGAGCTCCTTCCTGGATAATTCTGACCCTGGAGGCCTTTGGTCCAGGAAGTTCATGTTAATGGGCTAACTGCTGAAAGAATTTATGTTAGCCTTCAAATGAGGGTTCTCTGGCTGACGGCATATCAGCAGGACTAAAGTATCACCACATGACAGTCAGACCCCAAATTCCACATTCTAGCTAACTAGGAAACCAGCTACCCCCTTAGCTCTGCCTCTCACTCAGTTCTCTGGGACCCCTTTCTATGCTAAGTTCTCCTTCCGTCCGCAGTCACCTTTCCTTTCTACCCTTTCTAGTGAACAGATGAGCCAGTGGGGAACAAGCCCTTCACATCACCCCAACTCATGGCTTAGAACTCTGGGAAGGAACAACGCAGCTGTCCTGTCTTCAACAACATAAGGCCAAGCAGTCAGTGACCAGTTCTGCAAGGCCACAACTTCCTCTGTGCCGATACTGAGACACCAGGGATGGTGCTGGGAGTGGGTGGGGCAGTTTCCCCTGCCTTCCACTCCCAGGACCCTCCCCTTTACACCTGCTTCCCAGCAGGAGGGTCCATTGTCACACTTTACACACATGTCCTTAGGGTCCTTTGGATCCCTAGAACCTCTTTCCAGTCCAAGATACCCGGACAGGTAGCAATATGGGTAGCAAACAGCTGGATGGCTGCTGTGCCAAGGAGACCGCACTTAGGAAAGAGCTCTGGCTCCAAATCCGGGTCCCTTGGTGACAGACCATTTCTAAGGCGCTCACAGGAACCGAGCCTTCCCTTCTTACAGACCTAGGAGACATCCAACCAGAGGAGTGGAGGAGACCATGGCAAGTGGGCTTAGTCAAAGGAGAGATAACACTGAGATCTATATCCTAAGCCCAGGCTCCCCAGCACTCCAGTTCCTAACACCATGAGGTCCCCTCGGTAGGCAGAGCATAGGGGAGAGGTAGGAGTTGGGATTAACTCCTCCTCCAGAGGAACATGCCCCTCCAGCCGCTGTGCTGTAGTGTCCTTGAGGGGATAAATAGCTAAGGAAGTTGGTCCTTTGAGGTTGGCTCCTTGCAAGTGTAGAGCTGATGCCTCTCTGAGAGAGCCTCCTTCTCAAGGTTGCAAATGCAATGCTGGCAAAGATGGGAGGCAGGCAAGTCTGCATACCACGACAGTGAATGTACATGTATGTATATGTATGTGAACTACATAGGGAGCCTAGGAGAACTGCGGAGGGAGGGGCAGCTCAGTAACTAGTTTGAGCTCTGGAAGAAACCATCTTGGCTGTTGCATGATTAGACACTCAACCTACCCCCTTGGTTCATCCAGCAGTCCACGGGGCCCTATAATTTGATCTGGGCATGTTCACAGGCCCCTTTAGAGTCACAGGGGCCTTTGCACAAAATCTCTCTCTCTCTTTCTCTGATTTATTTATTACATATATAGTGTTCTGCCTGCATGTGTGCCATGCAGGCAAGAAGAAGGCACCAGATCTCATTACAAGTGGTTTTGAAACACCATGTGGTTGCTGGGACTCAGGACCTCTGGCTGAGCAGCCAGTGCTCTTAACCACTCAGCCATCTCTCCAGCCCTGCCCAAAATCTCTTATCTGAAGCTTCTAATAGACTATCCCCTCCTGAAAGAGCTTTGGCAAAGATAACAGCTCCTGGGAGCCTTCCTTCACCTTTCTAAACTAAACCATCCATCCCCTCTGCGTGCCTTTCTTTCACAGCATATGCCATAATTTGTGCTTGAATATTCATTTATTTGTTTTAGTGGTTTATACTGTGGTATCTGCATGATCACTGCTGAGTCCTCTCTGCTCAGCAGACAGGGTATAAAACAAGCATTCCATAAATACATGCTACAAAAGGATTGCCCTCACTGGCTCATGCTGGAGTGAGGGGCTTAGACGGGCTGTTTCCCACCTCCAGTAGCTTCAGAAAGCTAAAGGCTGGAGGGTTCAATGCCCTTTAGTATGTCATAGCCCAGAGGCAGGTTGGGGTTAGCTCAAGGCCACTTAGCAGATTCAGTCTGTGACCTTCTGAGGGCTTAGGTCAAGTGGGCAGAGGCGGCTCTGAGAGAGGCCGGGGCCTTGATGTGCCTCTGTGCTGCTGTGCTGAGGACTGTGGCTGCTCTGGAAGCACACTCACATCATCCAAGATGCTGTGACCTAAGTTCACGTAAGCTGGGGACAGCTGTACGTAGTGGTCCCCAAGCAAAGAGCTCACTACCTGCTCCACTTCCATCACGAGGGCTCTGAAGGTAGGCCGTGCTGCTGGGTCAGCCTCCCAGCATCGCAACATCACCTGGTACCTGTAAAAAGAGGGATGTCAGGTATAGGTGTACTCCTACGGGGGGCGGGGGTTCTGGGCAGCCCGATTCCCACTGAACAAAACAAAGATGAAGATCCGTGACAGGGCCTAGAGCCCCATCTGAACAGTGCTGGCTCTTCTCATCGCTGAGATGCCTGGCAGAAGTACAGATACCTCAGCAGAAAAGGGTTGCCGGCCACTATGCCCTGGGGCCTTATCTGTGTGATCTTGAGTGTGTTCTCTAACTTTTCTGTGCCTAGATGGCCTCTTCTGACCACACCATTAGGGGCACAGGGTAAAAAGACACTTGCGAAATCCTCAGTACATAGTTAAGAGGCTCATGAAATAGGATCATCACACCTTTCCAGATCAGATATAAAGTGAGGATTAAACCCTGCAGAGAGAGTTGGGCTTGGTGGCACACACCTGTAATTCCAGCAATGCTGGGAGGTGGAAAGATCAGGCATTCAAGAACAGCTTTAGCTACACAAGGGGTATGAGGCCAGCCTGGGCTAGTGAGTTCTAGGTTAGCCCAAGATAAAGAGTGATAGCCTGTCTCAAAAACAAACCAACAAATAAATACATACCCAGCACAGAAAAAGATGCCTTTAACCCCAGAATTTGGAAGGTTGAAGCAGAATTAACCTGCATTTAAGGCTAGCCTGAGCTACAGAGACCCAGCCTCAAAAAAAAAGTGCAGCCCTGTTGGAGCGGGCTGGCCCTTCAGAGTTTTCTGAAATTGAGACCAATGGGCCAGGTCTCTGTCCCAGGCATTAGTCAGTCACTGTCACAGGTGAGCAGATGTGAGACTGGAAAATGTGTTTCCCTTCTGCCTAGAGAAAGCTCAAGCTAAGAGCCGTCAACAGGTAACACTCTAAGTCACTGAAAAGGGAGGTCTAAGTGGCCCACTGCAGAGGGCACTAATGGGGGAGTCCCTTTTCCTTGCTGGGCTCTGTTTTGCTCATCTGTAAAGTGGGTATCATAACAACATTCCCCTTGGGGAGTCCGAAACACTGAGACTATGATTTAAGGCAGGATGCCATCCCCACGGTGATAAGGCAGGCTCTAGGATCCAGCAGGCCAATCTACAGAACCTCAGCCTCAGGACCTGAGCTGTCACCAGGGCTGCACTATGCGCTCTGTCCCTCTCATGATTGCATCCCAGCCACCTCCTCCCTCTGACAAGCCCTGTTTCCGCTGTCTCTCCCAAACCTACCACCTTCATCTGTTCAGGGAGCCTGTCTTAGATCCAGGCAGGCAGTAAGGTTAATTTCTCTTACCGTAAACCGTGTGCATAAAAAAACCAGATAGCCGAAAAGTCAAGGCCAAGATGGGCGAGCCCTGAGAACTACCTAGAGCCTTTCTGGAACACAGCCTGGGACAGGAGTCATCAACGGCTCTACCTGTGACCTGGTTTTGCCTGTTCTAAGCGTGCAGACCTGAGCACAGCCGAGGTATGCCTGCTGATTAGGGAGCCAAACCTACCCCACGGGCGCTGATGACACAGCTACCGCCATCCCTTGGGAATGAAAAAAAAAAATCTGAACTACATGCAGTGCAAAAGCCCTGCTGGAGAGATGCGGAGGGACCGGTGTGGGAGCTAACTAAACCTTGCTTTGAGGCTGAATGAGTGGAGGAGATGGAAAACAGCCCCTCTCTCTCCCTTTGCAGCAGTGGGGTTTGGAAAGAGATCCGGGAAACCAAACCACTGGCCTCAACCCAGACTCTGAGTTGGAATGCTGTTACCATGGAAACTGTGAGGGCCTCTCAGAGTCCTTCCTTGCATGGGGGTGGGACCAGTACACAGATAAGTAAACTAAGTCCCAGAGAGGCTCCTTTTCCTGGTCAACCAAAGGGTCAGACAAAAAGCCAGGCAGGGCTTGGTCTCTTGCCCCCTCCCGCATCTCTGGAGCCCAGCCCTGCCCCTCTATCGCCTTTTACATACTCACAGCGAATTGGGACAATACTCAGGCTGGGGCAGGCGACGGCCCTGAGCCAGGAAGTAAGTGAGGTCGAAAGGGTCGATATGGGGGTACGGTGGAGCACCCCGTGTGAGCAGTTCCCACAGCAACACACCAAATGACCACTGTTGGAGAAAGGTGAGGAGATTCACTCAACTATCACCCCAAATTTTGGTGGGCTGGTGGGCCCCCCAGGTCCTCTACCTCTCAGGATTCTTTACTGGAAATGAAGGACCCCACCTCTGCACAGAGCTCATTCCTTAATACTGTACAAATATCGTTCCTCCGTCTCCCACAACGTGACTTGAGCCCTGGACTGTTCATAAGGAACAGATGAAAGCACAGACTTCTGCCCTGGCAGATACCAGATTCTAGTTCACATCTGTCCAAGACAAAGGAGCTATGGGGTCTGTCTAACCTGGGGAGTGTCTGGACTCAGATTACGCTGAAGCAGGGCAAAATACTCTAAGGCATGGAAGTCAAGTGGACCTGGAGCGGAGGGTACCTTACCACGTCAGACTTGGTGGTGAATCTGTAGGTCTGAAGGCTCTCCAGGGCCATCCATTTGACAGGCAGGCGAGCATGGCGGTGCTGTCGGACACTATAGTATTCCTTGTCTAGGATGTCACGGGCCAGACCAAAGTCCGCCACCTTGACTGTGAATGACTCGTCCAGCCTGAGAAGAGGGTATCACACAGAGAACTGATGCTCAGCTGGGGCTGTAGCTCAGGGGCAGACACTTGCCTAGCACTGGCTCCTGCCAGGTCTGGACCCACCGCTTCCTAGCCCTTCGAAGGACTGAAGAATCACACTGTGGGGCTGGCGAGATGGCTCAGTGGTTTGGAAGAGCACTGACTGCTCTTCCAAAGGTCCTGAATTCAATTCCCAGCAACTACATGGTGGCTCACAACCATCTGTAATGAGATCTGGTGCCCTCCTCCTGCCATGCAAGCATTCATAGAAGGAATGTTGTATACATAATAAATAAATAAATCTTAAAAAAAAATCACACTGTGTGGTGGCACACACCTTTAATCCCAGCACTCGGGAGGCAGAGGCAGGCAGATCTCTGTGAGTTCGAGGCCAGCCTGGTCTACAAGAGCTAGTTCCAGGACAGGCTCCAAAGCTACAGAAAAACCCTGTCTTGAAACCCCCCCCCCCAAAAAAAATCACACTGTCTCTTTACCAGGTAGACAGAAAAATGCCTAGCCCTGCAGAGCAAAGGGTGGACTGGGTCCTCTCTTAAGGTGGCCTTGAGCAGCTGCATAGCCTCATGACTGTCCTTTTGTTTCACCCTAGCTACCTGAGCCACTCACATGCAGTTCCTAGCAGCCAGGTCCCGGTGCACAAACTTCTGCTCTGCCAGGTACTCCATGCCGCAAGCTACCTGCAGGCCAAAGCTGATGAGGTCCTTCACCGTGGGGTTCTGTAGCACAGGGAGACTGGTGAGTACAGGCAGAAGTGGGTGCGGCCGACACCTCCCACCCCGGATGGAAGGGCACTGACCCTCTGAGGGGAACGGATGAAACGAAGCAGGTCTCCGTGGCGCATATAGGGCAGCAGCACCCGGGGGAGGCCCTCTGGGGGTAGCACAATACCGATGAGAGCCAGAACGTTCGGGTGGTGGAGGCCTCGCATGAGCAGCCCTTCCCGCAGGAAAGCTTCTACCTCCTGCACCTCTGTGATGCCTGTAGAGTAGCGCAGGTCAGGCCAAGGGCCAGATGGAGATGGTGGGGGTTCAGCCTGAGACCACCCAGCCTAGGCCTCACTTACGGCTCAGTGACTTAACAGCACAGTGGATTTGGTTCTGTGCCTCATCTGTATACTCTCCATGGTAGACAACACCAAAGTGGCCTGGAAAGAGCGAGATGGTAAAGAGGGACTTCGGTGCCTGGACTCACTGCATGTCCCCTTATAACTAGCAACCTCGGAGCTCCAAACTGCCCAGGGTGACATTAAAAACAAGCAGCAGCTACACAATGATGGAACCATTTACCGTTCTCCCATGCCCACTTATCCATACCAGAAGCCACTGAAGATTAAATTCTTCAAAGATGACCACACGGAGGATCAGAAGTTAAGTAGTAGCCTCAAGGTCATACAAGTTAGTGAAGTCTACTTGAACTGTCCCTTGAGCACAGGTCAATCTCAAGACTCCTCCTCTGCCCTGCCCCACCTCCCAATCCATCCCCCACACCTTTGCCAATGACTTGGTCACTGTGGATGACCACGTGTTCATGGGGAATCAGTACATCCTTGACCTCGGCCAGGAGTGTCCTGTCCAGATCCTTGAGCCGCATCGAATCTGTTCGCAGTAGTGGGATATTTGTCCCATCCCTGTTATCCGAAGATTCCTCACAGCTCCGAGGTCTGGAAGCTATATCATCAATGTCAGAGGGTGTTGCTGGGGAGAGGGAGCGAGAACTAGTGGGGAGGGTCAAGCCCTGGCTTCTAGCGCCTCCCACCATCTCACCAAGGCTACTTACCTCTGTAGTCAGAGCCAGAGTAGAATGTAGACAGGGACATGGCTCCGGGAAACCGATCCAGAGTTGACAGGTCATCCAAGTTGGAAGCAAGGACTGTGGAAAGATAGCCCCTGGTGGTGAGCCTTTCCAAGCTCCTGGAGACCAAGTCCCACTGAGGAAATGTGGGATACCCCCAAGTTCTGGGGATCGCAGACACTAGTTTGGAGGTACAGGCTGAATCTAGATGGGTGTAGGGAGCTTACCTAGCTGCTTTTTCCGTCTCCGGGAGTTGAAGACCAGGGCAATGGCCAGGGCAGCCACGAGCATGATCAAAGCCAGCAGAGCAATTATGAGTGTACTCTGTGAGGCCCTGCCTGGGCCTGACCGAACCACTTGGCCCAGCTTGTGACACTCACCATCTACGCAGACCTGAAAGCATATGGCAGTTTAAGCCCAGACTGCAGACCCTTCAGCTTGTGGTTTCCTGAAAAGACCAGCTGTGTCACCTACCTGCAATGGGACACCATCCTTGCCAAGTTGCAGGGAAGGGGGCAGGGGGCAGACCACCATATTCCCCCGGAACTCGTGTTGGCAGATCTCACCACCCACGGTCATGTTCACACTCACGCAGTCTGCCACAGCGCCAAGCCCAATATACTGCAGAGACAGTCATGAGAATCAGCCAGAGGCTGGACTCTTGTCTCTTAACCGCCACTGTCCCTACCCTACCCCTTATACCCACCTCGAATTTAACTGAATGCTCTTCAGGCTTCAGTGGGGCTAGGCCAGCTCTGGGTGGACTGGGTGGGGGCAGGAAGCGAAAACCAGGCAGTATGAAGCCAGCTCCTCCATCCCCCCAGGTGCTCAGATTCCCTGTTGCCCACCCCTGATGGTTTCGGACCACATATTCTGGCAGGCGGCACTGACGCTGCTGTTCCAGAAACTGCCCTGCACACTGCTGAGACCCACATAAAAGTAGTTAGGCAAATGGCCCACGCCTGACTGCTCCAGTCTCCTTAGCCCAGTGTGAGGTGATGCTGGACATCAGGGGAGACTGGTCCAGCCTCCCCCCCCCCGCCCACCTATCCCCCCACCTACCCCCCCCCCCGCNCCCCCCCCCCCCCCCCCCCCCCCCCCCCCCCCCCGCCCACCTACCCCCCCCCCTCCCCCCCCCCCCGCCACCACCTGCTCTACTCACGCTGTTCTGCACTGTACTTTGTCCATCGTGGAATAATAGCTCTAGGCGCCATACAGAAGTCAGATGCTGGCCATGGATCATGACATGAGAGCCACTGCGAAGGGAGGGTGTTGGGGTTAGAGGACTCAGGGAACTGACTCATTTCTTGGAGGCCAAAGTAGCCAAGGAGGTGGCACTTACCTGTAGCCACAGTTGGGGCTGATGTCCAACACAATAGGGTCCTCCTTGTAGTGAAATGTCCAGGAGCCAGGCACCTCAGCACCTCCGATCTGCAGATGAACAGGGACCCTGGCTGTGCCAGCTCCAGGAGGTGTGACACATAAGATCTGTTCCTCACTGACCCTGCAGGATGGAGGGATTGGGCACAGGGGCACCTTCTTATGATGAGAGGCTTACCTCCTCCAGGGATTAGTAACCCCTCCTACTTCCTCTGTTGGTTGTCTTCCCCACCCACCTACCCTCCATGGGTCTGGAGAGAGGATGCTCCCAGTAAGACCTCCAAGAAGGCAGGGACGGAACAAGTTCCTGTACCCTTGGCTGGAGACAGTGGCCTCTGTGGTGGGCTCTCTTGTCTCTGGGTTGGAGGGGACAGCAGATCCTTCTTGAAACTGATCCCTACATTGACCATGTGACTGGGCCCTCTTCTCCACACTGGCAGTATCTAGGTACCCACCTGGTGCAGCTCCCTGGGTGGGAACAGAAGAAAGGGTCTCACAAGGAAGGGGCTGCTTGGTTGTCCCCATCAGAGATAGGGAAGGAGGGATTGCATTGTACCTGAGACTTGAGGTGACCTTAGACAGCAGCCAGGAGGAACCTGATAGGTTCCTTCAGATATCAGGCTAACTCAGGATACAGATACAAGTTGGAGCCTCACAGGGGCAGGGACCTGTGGCCTCCTGTGATTTTACCTGATAACACTTACTGTTCCAGCTGGCACTGAGTTCCATTGACCAGTACAGCTCGGCTGGTGCCTATAGACAGGTTCTGGCCTTCGAGCGTGAGATAAGTACCCCCAGCCCGTGGGCCAAAGTCAGGTTTTATTGATGTCAGCAGTGGTTCCTAAGAGGATATGGAAATGGAACATTTCATTCCAAGTCCATCCCTCTTGTGCCTCCCACTGACACAAGGCAAAGACAGAGCAGTGTAGACTCACCATGAAAGAGAAGCCTTCCCTAACAGAGCTGCCGTCCACCCGGAAGTGCTTGCCTGCTGGTGTGTTAGTGATGAGAAGGCTGACATTTGTAGTCCCTGCTGCCTGGGTGACCAGAGGCTCCAGCTCACACTCAAGTTCTTCCACAAACGCCTTAGGGTACTCTGGCCTGGGACATCAGAAGGATACCATGAGGTCAGGAACCCCAGAGGGCTGGCTTCATGCCTGCCACAATCATGGGGCTTATCTGCCAAAGCATGGCAGCTACACCTATGGCTTTCTCTGACAGCAGACAGAATTGGGGCAGGGGGACAGGGACTAACCTTGTCTAGTCCATAACTAAACAGACAAGTAGGGCACGTGCAGGTTCAAAATGGGACAGATATCTTAGACACAAGTCAATCTAGCTTGTCCCTACCCTTTACAGAACAGGGTCTCACAGACGAGGGGCTGCTTGGTCACTCTCATCAGGGATAGGGAAGGCGGGGACCAGGTTATACCTATAGCTTGGAGAGTGTTTGGGCAGCAGCCGGCAGGGACTTTGGCCCACGGTGATCTGGTGTGTTCCCTCGGGTACCTCATTAGGACGCAGGTAGAAGTTGGAGCCACATAAGGTGAGCCTTGTACTGCCCCTTAGGGGTCCACTGTGAGGATAGAACTGAAGTGGAGAGAATGACCCAAGTTTTTGTGCGGGGTGGGATTCTCTCAGCACTTCCCCCAGAGTTCTGGCCATACCCCTTGCCTATCTCACACTCCGGCTCCAGTCATTCCGGGTCACACGTTAGTCCTCATTCAGACTTCTTCCTGCCTCCCCAGTCTCCCTCTGTGCCATCCCCTCTGACAAGAATGCCCTCCTGTGGGCATTTCAGAGCGCAGAAGATCGTGATCAGGACTTTTTGACACCTCCCCACCGCCCTGCTTGTCGCCTGAGCCCTGGGGTATGCTGTACCTCTGTGATTTCAGGGGGACAGCGATCCTGTTGCCAAGAGGCAGGACACTCCTTCTGCCGGCCACACCTGTCCCCACACCAGCCACATCCCATGAAACGCTGTGCTTTCAGGCAACGCCAACAGGTTAGGAAATGACGGCAGCCAGGGCCCCGGATAGGAACCTTGAAGACCTAGGGGTGACAAACAGGTGGCTCAGCAATTGCTAAGAGTGGGAGCTGGGCCCCATAAACCCTGCTGGTCCCTTCTAGATTAGAGAGGTAAGGTCTGCATATCAATGCCTATCTGGGTTTGACGGAGAGGCTATGATACCACCACCTGAACCCCAAGTCCCAACCCCGCACACCTCACCTGGTCCCCAGAGGCAAAGAGTAGGTCATTCCCAAGGCGACTGACGTCCCGCTGAATAGGCTGCCCGCTGCTGCCCAGGGAGAAGTTGGACACGTACAGCAAGTAGCCGAACGATCTGGCTATCTCCACCTGTCATAGGTCTGCTATGAGAAGGCTAGCAAGGGCAGGGGACAGGGATGGAGGGACAGACAATGGTGGTGTAGAGGACCTACCTGTAGGATACGCCCATCTGCAGTGCCCATGTGGGCCACTGTAACATTGCCAAGGCCTGTCACATGCAGCGCGGTGACCTTCACTGATCCTAACATTCCGTTGAATAGGTCCACGCGGGAGAAGCCTTCGCTGACCAGCAGAGGGAAGTAGTGGCAGCGGAAGCTGGGGCTGGAGGCCTCTACACCAGGCTGGGGAAATCCAGGCAAGAGAGAGTCAGTGCACAGTCCTGAGCCCTCACTCTTTGGGGCTTTTGTCAGTGATTAGCTCTAAACTGCTATCCCTCACCTCGCCTGACTAGAGGAGGCCCAGAGCCTACCCCTCACCTACTACCACCATGCTCATAGGCGCTTGGGATAGCAAGGGCAGGGAAGAAGGGAGGCCCAGTCTAGAAAGCCAGATCCCCCGCTGAAGGGACTCTCACCAGCTTGAGAGGAGTGAGGACAGCTCTGGCCAGCCTTTCCCTTTGCTCCCATTTTCTCTGCCTTGTTAAAAACCAGTAGATTACATTCCTGAAGCTAGTCACCAAGGTCTACTTCCTTATTTGGCCAGCCACTTCCTCCTTCTGACGTTGACTACCAAGGTTCAGCTATCAAACTATTGAAGTTCAGCAACCAGAAGCCCCATTTGGCTCACCTAATTAACATGCCCAATTAAAATTAAGCACCTCATCCTAACACAGGGTCTTCCCCTTTCCCTTTATAAACCGCCATTTGCCTATGTGCCAGTCTGTCCCCTCTATCCAGTGACAGTCCTTTGTTCCTCCGGGAAGAATACCTCTGCCCCCTTTCCCTTGTCCCTCATCCCCCATCCCCTCTACTACCATTCTAACACAGACTTCCCCCTTTTCTCTTCTTAAAAATCACCCCTGCAAGGTCATTTGCTGTTGTTTTTCTGCCAGAGTCAGAAAGCAGGCACTTTAACTTTTCTTCCCTGCTTACTAAAGGATCTCTCTGTGAAAACAGTTGTTTAGGTGCGGTTTGTGCCGGATCCAGGGTCTGGGAGGCAGCCCCCACTGTGTGGAAGTTCCCTTCACCTACTCCCTGCCTTACCCTGCTATGTCCAGTCTGATGATGAATTATGGAGTCTGTAGACCCTGCTGGTCCTCCCATCCATTCATTTATCCAAGGCCTTACAGCCCTTCAGGATCTAAGTCAGAAGCCCTCACCCTTAACCAGAGGACTCTCACGCTCCCTGCTGGCCCTTCTCTGCCTGTGTGAGCACTTCTTAGCAAATGTCCCTTCTGGGCTTCATGAGACTGAATTCTGAGGTTAAGTGGCTTCCCAAGACTGGCTATATGGCTCCTTTCCCTGAGATTCTATAGAACTTTCAGTTACCTAAACCTCCCTCAGGTATAAAAATAAAAAAACCAAGGCCCTATGACATGAATGTCAGATTAAGCTTAAGAAGTTGGGAGATTGTGAGTTGAACCTGCTAGGTTTGCTATTTTCAAAGTGAGTTCCAGGACAGCCAGAACTGTCACACAGAGAAACCCTGTCTTGAAAAAAGAAAAACAAAAGAGAGAAGAAGTTGGAAGACATAAACCTCTCCCTTGCTCTTAGCCAGGAGGTGTAAATTCTTAGGACACAGTTGGGAATGAACAGTCCTGGAAAAGTAGGAAGCCAATGTATGCATTTAAGACTTGGGGTTGGAGTAGAGGAATGGGAAGGGCCAGAAGAGAGCCCTAGGTGTTCAGAACCTCCTCAGTGCACACAGAGTTAACCTATCCCTGGACCGCAGTGACAAGCAGGACCGGGGAGGGGGGAGAGGGAGGGACAAGAGCAGCAGTGTTGAGCCTAGACACCCCACCCAATCTGGGTCTCTATCCTGTTTGGGTGGGGACTGAGACTTTGTCAGCACTCGAGAAGGAAGAGGAGGGGCGTGACCCTAGCCAGAAACTTGCCAGGTGTTTTCATTGTGACTCAGGGACAGGCGGGGCTCAGGCACTAAGAGGCCCTAACTCAGGTAAGAACAAGGTCCTGTTTGCTCGCCTCTAGGCCGCAGGGGTCTTAGATTTGGGTCCTAGGATTGACGAAGGTCTCTAGCCCTGAACACTTGCCTTAAGTGTCCCATTCCCCATAGCTGTTCCACACCCTACCTGAATCCACGTAGGCACAAGTCTTTAGGTCAACCAGTACACAGTGTACACAGTGGCTGCTACTCCAGTGATGATATACTTAAGTCATCAAACACTGATTTACATATCTTCAGAGATCTGGCAGACCTCCAGACATGGAGCTATAGGTAGGGCCCAAGATTAGTTCTCCTGGTGCCTGGCACCTCTAGCTAAATTGGGAGAGGTTTTGATTTCCCATCTAGATTTGGACAAAAGGTTCTTACTCCCAGAGTTTCTCAACCTAAATATACTCATTTGAGGAAGAAGAGCTAAAGAGCCCCCCACTTGAAGGCTAGGAATGTTGCTCAGCAGCAGAACACTTGCCTAAGAAGTCCAAGGCCCTTAGAGATGTTCAATCTCTAGTACTGGAGAAGAAAAAAAGAAAAGAAGTTTGCACCAGGCCTGCTGTACACTTGTAATACCATCATTTGAGAGGTGAAGGCAGGAAAATCTTGAATTCAAGGTCAACCTGAGCTGCACAGTTGATTCAAGGTCAGTTTTGGCTATACACTAAATTCTCTCTCAAAAAACCAAAAACAGGGGCTGGAGAGATGGCTCAGTGGTTAAGAGCATTGCCTGCTCTTCCAAAGGTCCTGAGTTCAATTCCCAGCAACCACATGGTGGCTCACAACCATCTGGAATGAGGTCTGGTGCCCTCTTCTGGCCTGCAGACATACACACAGACAGAATATTGTATACATAACAAATAAATAAATGTTTAAAAAAAATAAAAATAAAGGGCTTTCTTATAAAAAAATTTAAAAAAAAACAAAAACAAACAAAAGACTGAAGATATAACCCGTGGTAGAGGATTAGCACACTTGAGGCCCTGGATTTGGTACTTCAAGTTCTAAAAGAAAAATGAATTCCCCCTCCAACACTGTGTGTAAATTCTATACCTCCACGGCATTAACAGAAGCTGGAAAATCAATCAGACAAGAGTATCATAGTCACTGACAGGCCTGGTGTGGCATAGGCCCATAACCCTTGCTACTCCAGTGGCTGAAGCAAGAGGATTACAAGTTCAAGAATTGATTGTGTTTAGAGAGTGAGTTCAAGGCCAGCCTGAGCAACTTTTGTGAGACTTTGTTTCAAAATTAAAAGTATAAAAGGAGAGGAGGGCACTGGAGACCCAGCTCAGTGGTAGAGCATTTGACTAGCAGTTCCTAGTGTGTCTAAAGAGGTGGGGGGTGGGGCAAACAAAAAGTGTCACAGCAAAGTCAGGACACTGCGTGACCAGAGACGAGTGTGACTGTGGCACTCAATGCTCCATTCAGCCCTTTATCTTGTCCTAATCTCTCAATAGTCTTAGGTGAGACTATTTGAATGGTTTTGAGGAGTTGGTTTTCATTTTGTCCTCAAGCAAGCATTTTTGTTTTTATTTGATTTTACTTTTGGCCCTCAAACCCTGACTAGGCCCCAAGTTAAGGCTCTAGATCCTCGAGGTAGCATTTTAAAAACATCCTGCTTCCTGTTTGTTTCCTTTCTTCTTCCTCCCTGATGTGATAGGTGGACTGAGAGACCCTCCTGCCTGGGGCAGGGCCTTGGCTACAGAGACAGAAAGTCCAGGCTGGACCCATTCCAACCAGCCCTTCCTACGCCTTTACTCATCCCCAATTGCTTAGAGTTTGCTTGCACAAGACCGGGGTGAGGTTTCCAGGAACCTTCTAGAGCTGAGCTGCAACTGCCTTTCCACTATGTCCCAAATTTTCCTGTAATGATCGTGTGGAGAATGAGTTAGTAAATCATAAAACATGCAGGCTCCCTAAGAAGCTCCCAGACTGCCAAGGTTCCTTGGAAACTGTTGGGGTTCTCTGGCAACCCTGCCCTGCCATCTTTGGAAGGCAGAGCAACACAGTGCCTTCATAGGAAAGTGAAACTATATTGGCAAGCAGCGGCGAATCTTTGACTATGAGCAGCTGCCCATGGAGTTTTTGCCTTTGTGTATACTTTTCTCTGGGTGCCTGAGGGTGTGGGTGGTGGGCAGGTTGGTGGGGATGCCTATCATTTGACAGGAAAGTTGGAAGTTGTGCTGGCAGAGGCACTATGACGTAAGCCCCTCTTCACATAACCTGGGAAAGTACCTTAAAAATTCAGATAGCAGGAAGGGTGGCAGAGCCTCATGCTGGGATGCGCTTCCAGTATGGCCTCTGTTTGTCTGCTATTTCCCACTACCTCCAGTACTAGGAACTGAGAAGGAGGGAATGTTTCACTCTGCCTGCCTTCTTTCAGTGACAGCAAGGAAATGGCCTGTCTTCAGCCCCACCGGGTACTCACAGGTCAGGGGCCCGCTCTTTCTGCTCACCGGATTAGGACAAAGACTGGGTGGCTGGAAGAATTCGAGGCCTCTCGAGGGGCGAGGAGAAAGTGAAGAGTCACAACAGCGTTCTACGCCCTGTTCAATCAGGGCGTCCAGCTGGTGAATGGGGTAGGCGCATACAACAGAACTGGGACCCGAGCCAGAGCTATCATCCCTGACAGCCGCAAAGACCCCAAATAGCACTTCCTGGCCCTCTGAGGTGCTCAGATCCACAGCTAGAATGGCATCCACGGGAGCAGTGTGGGCTGCCCGAAGCACTGGGTAGGACTGTGTGCTCTTTGGAGCTCCCCGCCGCCGGCGTTTAGGTGCAAACTGACAATCCAAGACCAGCTCCCGGTAGTCACCCATCTCTGGCTCTACAGCATTAAGTCGGGCAAGACGAGTCTGCAGGGCACCGGGAGGGCTTGTGACACCGGAAGGTTGCACGGTCAGAAAGTAGACAAAGTCTCCTGAGCGGAAGCTGTATACATATTCAATGAGGTAGGAGGCCAGATATTTGGGCAGCACAGATAGCGAAGGAAAACCCGGTTGAAATCCAGAAGCATCTGCCTTGAGGCGACGGATGGACACTGAGTGCGGGCTAAAGCTGGCAGCCAACTCTGGGTCCAGTGAAGATGCCACATAGAAGTAGGAAGCATGGCCCTGCCCAACCACAGTCACACGAGTGCCCCGGGGGCTAGCCACACAGTCCGGGCAGGACTCAGGCCGGTTATTGTTTACTGAGAAGAGGCAGGCTGGTGCTGCTAAGTGCAGGGATTTCTCCCGAGGCTCAAGCTCGTGGAGGAAGCACCGGCCCTGAAGGGTTGAGCCACAGCTGACCAGGGCTGGCAAACCCGGGTCTATCACCAGCACCAGTGTGTCTGTATCGTTTGGTGGTCCGTGAGGGCCTGGACCACAGCTCGCACATGTCTGGCAGCCAGGATCTCCAATAGGGCCGGTGGTCAGGCTCTCTATATACTGCAGGTCAGGCCCAAGCACGTGCAGACGATTGCGTGTGGCCACAAACAGCGCACTCCCATCTTCACTGTCCTCGTAGGCTGCCATGGCCTGTACCTGGCCACCGGCGTGGAAGCTGGGGACCACATACTTAACATCAAAGTCCCGGGAGGCTGAGAAGGGTATTCGTGGGCACTGCCAGTCCAGGTTGGTGGACGCCGCCGGCAACCACAAAAGAAGCATCAGCAGTATAGAGGATTGTAGCAGCGGCAGAAGCAGCCCCATTGAGACTAGGCTGGAACCTCTCGTGAACTTCAGAAGTCCCAGGACTTGACCGGACCAGACTCAGGTCTGACCTGAGACCAGCATTATTCAGTAGCGGTACTGAAAGTTCCCGGGCAGCTGACCCCCTGCGCTGGTTCCTGGCAAACCCAACCTTTCCCCCTGCCCTGTGGTCTGAGGATCTGGCTGTGGACCCACGGGCAGGGCAATGGCACGACCACCTCACCTGCGGCTCCAGTTGCTTCTGGTAGCTGCCGCTGCCACAGATACTTAGATCAAAGTCGAAAGACGCTGGGCCCCGTGGGTGCGGCCGCGCTGGGGGCGGGGCTACGGGCGGAGCCCTGTTGAAGGCTCTTTCCAGCCCTGTCTGACTCTTTCCAGCCCTGAGAAGTCTGTCTCCTGTATCCTCTCTTGGATGTGTCTTTCTCAGTTCTCTCTCTCTCTCTCTCTCTCTCTCTCTCTCTCTCTCTCTCTCTCTCTCTCTCTCTCTCTCTGAATGGAGTGGGCTGGGAAGGAGTATTCCTGAACCATCCTATTCCCCCACAACCCACCAGGTTAAGATGAGAACGGTGCAGGGCAATATGGCTCTTCTCTCTGCAAGGCCCTCATTCACAGGTGCACCCTCAGGCACCAGTTCTCACCACGGAGGAAGACACAGGACAAAGTGATGGGAGAGGATTCAGAAAGGAATACCACAGGACGCACCTTCTGTGGGCAGGTCTCATAATTCCATGGTGTGCCCTCTCCTGTCTGCCCAGAGTCATAAGGGTTAATGGAGTCTGGCCCGGCTGGCTGGGTAATAGCGCGGTGGCTCTGAACCTGTCACTGTGGCCTCAGTGTGTGGAAGTATAGAGGTGAGGGAAGGGTGAGAGTAGTAAATGGCTCTCTTCCAGTCCCTGACTGCTGGGCACCTCTGCTCTGAGCCTTGTTTTGTGGACTCGGTCTCTGAAACAGAAGTGTAGTTCTGGTTGGTTCTTCTTCCAGAAGCCGTGAGTGAGGAAGCCCTTTCTTCTTTGCCATCTCCCTCACCTGAACCTCAGCAGCTATCCTTTGGCAAGCAGTCTTTCTCAATACCCAGGGTTATGGGGCAGGGAGAGGCATTCTTAGCCTGCCAGTGAGCCTGGGCTCCGGAGGGCTCTTCACAGGGTGGCTAGAGGCAGTTGTGAGTCCCAGGAAGGAGCTTAGCAGGATTCAGTGTGGCCTGGGGCTCTTTACGAGTCCACTCCTCACCCAGTACAATCCCCCTGCCGGCATTTGCTTTCTAACTGGCCTTAGTGAATATTTCTTCTCCCCTTCATCCTTTCAGAGTTGAGATGCCTTTCTAGATATACTTTTACAAACAGTATTTAAAGTCAGCCGGCTGGGCGGTGGTGGCGCACGCCTTTAATCCCAGCACTTGGGAGGCAGAGGCAGGCGGATCTCTGTGAGTTCGAGACCAGCCTGGTTTACAAGAGCTAGTTCCAGGACAGGCTCCAAAGCTATAGAGAAACCCTGTCTCAAAAAAACAAACAAACAAAAATCAAAACAAACAAACAAACAAAAACAGTATTTAAAGTCATAAAAAAAAAAAAAAAAAAAAAAAAAGGAACGCTTCACAAATTGGCCGGTCCTTCCAGCTCAGGGGCCATGCTAATCTTCTCTGTAGGGTTAGGAGGCCTTTCACACCCAACCTGTGTCAGATGCAGATCATGGGTCACCAGGAGCCTGGGCTAAACACAATTAGTTCATTCTCTTCCTCTATCCCCAGGGTAGGATTTCCCCTCCTTCCAGGATGAGTACCTGTTAGCTGACAGGAAATGGTAGATGGAACAGCCACACCCAATGGAGAGAGTACTATGCCCAAGGCAACATAAAAGCTGCTCCTTTACCTAAGTGGAACTGACCCAGAAATGAATACACAACACAAACCATGGCACCCTTCCAGTGTTCTGTAGTCAACACGTCTAAAGATAGCCATGCAGATAAAAACTGAAACACCCTCCACCCAGCACCCAGACAGGGGCTCTGTGAATGTGGTCCTGCCTCCGGGAATTGTGAGACATTTCTGGGTACTGGGGGGAGGCTTCACAAGCTTGTTTAGATGGCCTTACCTAAGCCATTTGGAGGTGGGAATGGCCATTAATTGGTTCTCTGCTGCCACCATGTGGCCATGATGGTGACCCCCCCTCCCAGGACAATGCACCACTTGGGGGGGATTTGTTTATCAGCCATGGAATCCACAGGAGAACCCCTTTGCTACTCTTCATCCGAGGGTTCTGTAGGAACTTCAAGCAAGGTATGGGACCCTGCAGTGTTAAGTATAAGCACTCATAAGGTAAATTCACTGGGTTTGGCCTATTGCTGGCTTAGGACTTATTTAACTACTCTGAGATCTTACTTCAAAAAGAATGCTAGCCACTTTGCCCTCCATAGGCTCAGGTCTCTCTCAACATTGCTTCCTTCTCCAACCCAGAAATCTCTTTAGTGAAACTAGGGGTTTCTCCCTAACTGCAGCAACCATATCAGACTGCAGCTCTAAGAGACTCTCCCCACTGTGACTTTATCCGGACTTGTAGATTCTGCCAGTTTCACCGCAGAGCAGTTCTGTCCAGTTCTTCTCTTTGCAGATGCTGGTGCCTCTATTAGGAAACCTCCTTTATTTGCCCGTCATCTAATCCTTGACCTCCAAATAGGCAAACCCCACACTCCTAGGAACCTACCGTCCTGGTACCATGCTTATCCTGTGCCTGAGCAGAAGGGATATTGAACCAGAGAGAAGCTGAATAACTACAGGTTTAGAGTAGCTACCAGAAGCACTTAGGGGCTAACTGCTGATCAACTAGGGATGTCTGTCTTCAAGTCACCCTGATTCCAAAGTGTTGATCTGACATCACTGATCAGGAGCAAGATGAAGAAAAGCACAAAACAGGCAGGAAAGAAACCTGGGGGATATGTGCAGCGTGTACACTGAGCCTGCTTCCAAGGGTCTTAGGGGTCTGGGAAGGTGGCCGGTTGCCATGTTAAGTCTAACACGATCTCGGATGAAACTAGTAACAAGATTATGCTGCCAATTAAGTACAGCTGTCATGGTGTCTCCTCAATGTGGTTCATTCTAATTTATACATGATCTCTGGTGTGGTTTTAGTGGCAAAAGTAATCGTGGTCCTATTTCCAGAGACTGCTTGAAGGTGGTTCTGACAGCCTGAGGACATTATCAGGCTATTCTCTTTAGTCAGCCTTTTGCTCCTCTGAGCAGTGAGAGGGTTGGGTTGTAGCAGGACCAGGAGATCTCCCCTCCCACCAGGAGCAAGTTGGAGGCCTCTTGTACTGCGCCCTGGGGCTAACTGAGTGGAGCCAGTCCTTTACTGCTGAGCCTACGTGTGGAAAGTGTCCACAGGATCTCGTGTAGGACAGGCTGAGGAAGAGGGTTACTGAGGACAGTCCAGCATATCAAGTGACCTAAGACAGATTTCCTTCCAAAGGCCCTACAGATCAAGTGGGCTTCCTCTGGCTCATTCTTGGGGAGCTGTTCTGATGAAGTGGCTGGAGGAGATACAGGAACTAAGACAGCCCTTTATGGGTATATCTAAGCATTCTCCTCAGAGGCCTGTGGCTACAGAGAATCGGGTTGCCTTGCCAAGGGCTCCTACCCAGAATCTGGCCCAGGTCATCTGCCCTTGTCTTTCTCGGTTCAGCCTGTGCTTAACTACAGCAGCCCATGAACCAGAGTGCTGATGACGGAACTGTCCTTGGAAGCATGGACCGACCGAGGGCAGGCTGGCACCAGAGAAGACTGAGTGTGGGTAAAGATGGGAGCGGACAAGGGGAAGACAGTGAGCCCCTTACATAGGACAGGATTTCACGGAATCAAAACAGCCCCAACTGGAATCTGACTCCATATGAGGGGCTTAATGCTGGCAAAAGCTGGGAGAGGGGCTCAAATGAACATGTGCCCCCATATAAGGAACGTGTCGGGCCAGGAAGAAGGATTTTGTATCTATATGTGAGAATGGATGGGTAAAGGAACCAGTGCCAGAGCTGGGTGTGGCGGCACACACCTTTATTCCCAGCACTCAGGAGTTTGAGGACAGTGAGCTCCTGACAGTTAAGGCTACATAGAGAGTAGGGCGTAGAGTCTCAGAACCAAGCAAGCAAGCAAGCAAAGAACCAGTGGCAAAGCGCAACAAGTGTCTTTCTCAAAGCACTTTAATGCACGCACCAACCCACAGTCCCTGCCTGCTGGCTGGGCAGGAGAAGCCAGCCTCACCTGGAGGCTCTCATGGCTTCCCACGCCCAGTGTGCCTTCCCACTTCCATCAATAGGTGAGGGGTGTGAGGATGAAGAGCCGGTCTTCCTCTTTACGGATCCAGCGCATCAGCTTATGGATGGCACTGACAGCTGATGCCTTGGTTCCCAGTGGACTGTAGCACATGTAGAGCTCAAAGGCACCTGTCACCTGGAGGAGGGGGCAAAGGGTCATCACCTAGAAAAGGCATGCTTCTTGTGGCATCTACCCAGTATCTATTCATCTAGGGCCACCTTACCCAGGCTAGGAGGTTCTCATTGGGGCCTGTATAGTAGATGGTCTTGAGTGGGCGAGAGGCATTGTGAGCGCGGCTGTGCAGGTACTGGTAGAGGCCCAGCAGCCGCTCCTGCTCCTCTTCACTGGTGTATGGGGCCTCGATCTCAGGACTGCAGATGGAGAAGTCGGTTCACAAAGGAATGCCTTTCACTGTCTTCTCAGGAGAACTAGAAACACCTCTTTCTGGACAGGGAGGTTTTACTGCCTGTTCTCCCCAGGTGCTCCCCATGACAGGATATAATCTTCTGATTATAGAAGACCACCCAGGACAGACTGGACCCTGCCCCCCCCTGCCAGGTTCATAGTAACCCTTTGGTACCCTTCCTTGGAGAGGCTGTTTCTGAGTTTAGGTACCTAAAGGAATACAAAGCCTAGAGCAGAGGAGGTTTCCTGGGAAACCTTCTGAACCAAAAGTGGGGGTTGGGGGAGGACATATCTGCCCAGCTCCTTTAGTGGAGGAGTGCATGGGAAAAGGGTTCAGCATCCTGGCCTAGACCAAAATGACCCCAAAGGCAGAGTTACTTCAGGGCAAAGGACGGAGAAAACCTCTGTTTCAGCTTCTTTCCCAAGTTGTTCCAGGCCTCACATATGTTGAAGTAGAGAGGCGTATGCCCACTGAGTGATGCCCGAGGCAAACAGCCCCAGCATACCGGTACACTCTCAAAGGAGTGGTCCCTTTCAGGGCTGCATCTTAGATCTCAGGACCAACCAGCCTCCCCCCATCTCTGCATCCTTGTTTCCCTGAAGCAGTGCCTCCTCTCACCTGGTGAAGAGTCCTGAGCTCTTTGACTTATAGAGGAAGTGACGAAGGTCAGGGATGCCCACTTGGGCAACGCTGTAGTAAGGTGTGCGCAGAGCCTCCCGCAGGGCCAAGTGGGCTCCCCGCTTTCGAAGGCGTTCCTGGAAGCGGCGGCGGCAGTCAGAGACTGCAAAGAAGTCTTCACGGTCAGTGGAGACCAGCAGCAGGCAGAGGTCGGTATCAGGTTCTAGGTAAGAGATGTGCGCGTGGAAGAAGCCGGCCGCATTGAACTTTGGCAAGCACACGGGGGTCCATGCCTCGCCCTCACGGAAGGATGAGGAGGAACTAATGAGGTTGAAAAGCAGGTGCAGGTCGATGGGATGCAGGAATTGGTCCTTGCGGCGCACCAGCGCCACCAGCTGGTTGCGGGCCAGCAGAATAGAAAAGACTAGGCTGCGAGCACGAGCCTGCTGCAGGCTGGCACTCACCGTGTCCCTCACTGCCGCTGCCAAGGGCAGGCAACGCGCTGCGCCCATCAGGAAACTCGGGTCTCGAGCCATTAGCTGCAGCAGGTTATCGGTGATTCGCTCCGAGCCTGACAGCAGGCGCCGCAGGTCGTAGTTCTGCTTCTGCTGGAAGATGTGGCTCAGCTGCGCGCCAGTTAGAAGGCTCAGGATCTGGTAGTAGATGTACAGTAGCTCCTGGGCCAGCTCCTGGGCCGACTGCCGCGTGCGGGCCACCGCCACCAGCACCAGAGGGCTCCGGCGTACGAATACTACCTTGTAGCCATCTGAGGGTGTGGGCAGCGGGTCAGCTTCAGCCCTCCTCCCAGAAGCCCTCCCGGACAGGCTTTCCCAGTGGGCTTCACTTTCCAGGGTTTCCTTGCTGGGAGCTCTGAATTCAGTAGGGGCTTACTGATTGTGGGTAGTCAGTCACCTCTCTTCCCTGGCACCTGCTTCCAAACCTGACCCTCAGACACACAAGCTCTTCAGGAAAACATATTCTTTGCTTTTTGAGACAGCGTCTCAAGTAGCCTACCTAGGTTAACCCGGCCGAGACTGGCTAATGCAGCAGAGGTTGATCCTTCTGCCTCCACTTTCCAAGTGCTGGAATTTATAGGCAAATATATATATCACCAGGCCCAGCTTAGGGAAACACATTTTATGCTAAATGCTAACTCAATTGGCAAGGGATCTAAGCTAGATCTTTTTTTAAAAATTTATTCATAATTTTTGTCACTGCCCCAAAGAACTGCCTTTAGTTCTCACCACAGCCCTGCTACCTCAGGAGGCTGATACTGTTATCCTACTTCAGTAAGAGCCCGAGGCTCAGAGAGATGGAAGGACTTTACTCTCAGGCAAATAGCACCACCCAGCTTTCTAGGTGTGTGTGTGTGTGTGTGTGTGTGTGTGCGCGCGCGCGCGCGCGCGCGCGCGCGCGCAAAACCTGGTATGAATAAACCCTGCCACTGGAGCCTTCCCCGCAACCCTCTTCAGGTGGCTCACCTGCATGGATGGAGCGAATGGCATTCTTGTCTGCCTCCAGGAAGGACACCAGAGCAACCATGACACCCATGGTGCTGGAAAGTGCTTCCTCAGACCCATAGCGAGAATACACAGGCTTCCCTGCCTCACTCAGTACAAACACATGCTTCTGGTGGAGGCGCCATGCCTCCGTAGCGTCCTCCTCATCCCCTTCAGTTGTGCCCTCTTGAGAAGGCTCTGTGGCTGGTCGTCCTGCTGCTCCCTGGGGCTCCTGCCAGTCTTCTGAGCTTCCTGGTAGCATTTCCTCCTGCAGGTCACGGGCCACCCCTGTCAGTTGGGTACTCAGCTCACTGAAGTCCTGGCTGATCTGGCGCATGTCTGTAGGCAGTGGCGGGGGACTTCCAGCATACTCTTTGGGGCTGTCCCCAGAAGCTTCCCTGTCTTCTGACTCTGTCAGGTCTTCATAGGAACGTGCATGGACAAACATGGCACCCTCCTGCCCCGCACCTGCAGACCAAAAGCACTGGTACTTAGAGGGGTAGCTGCTGGTAGATACGCAGCACTCACCAAGGAGATGTCTAGAGGGTTGCTGCCTGTCTTGATGGGCCCAAGCTACTGTCCGCCCTACCACTGCCTCCCATGCATTATGCTCATCTACAGCCTAAAGGGCCTTGGTCTCCAGGCAGCATAGAAATTGATATCTACCTTCCCCTCACTAACACTGAACAGCTCACCGCCTTGCCCATTCCAAACACACTGGCATTTATCCACCTGTGCTTTGGACCCCCCCCCACACACACGCAAGAGCTCTGCATTTGCTGTGTACCTGGACGGCATCCCCGTCTCCCCATGTGGGTGAGTACCTGTCACAATTCCACTCTCAGGTAAGATGTAGTTATTGGTCACTACAGTGGTATCCCTTAAGAAGACAAGTTTAGTTATTAACCCTCTCCATCCATGAGGGAGGGCTACCATGGCCCCTGACCACTAGCCTGTGGCTTCTCCAGGACAGGGGCCACGTCGGGCTTCTCTTACATATTTTTGGGGTGCTGGAATCTAAGGACTGAGGCATACTCGGCAAGTACTTGACTAATGAGGTAAAGCCCTAACCCCTACTTAGTTTTCTTCTTTTGGAGATACGGTCTTACTACACAGCCCCGGCTAGCCTGGTATTCATTATGTAGCCCCAGGCTGGCTGGCCATGATCTCACACTAATCCTACCTCCACCCACAGCTGCTGGGATTACAGGTGGACACCACCATGTCGAGCTCTTTTTTTCCTTGTGAAACTCAGTTTGAAAATTTTTAAAAATATTTATTTCTTTATTATGCCTACAATATTTTGTCTGTGTGTATGCCTGCAGGCCAGAAGAGGGCACCAGACCCCATTACAGATGGTTGTGAGCCACCATGTGGTTGCTGGGAATTGAACTCAGGACCTTTGGAAGAGCAGGCAATGCTCTTAACTTCTGAGCCATCTCTCCAGCCCCTCAGTTTGAATTTTTATTAAAAGACATTTTAGCCTGGCAATGGTGGCACACACCTTTAATCCCAGTACTCAGGCAGAGGCAGGCAGATCTCTGTGTTTGAGGCCAGCCTGGTCTACAGAAAAGAAAAACGATTTTTTTTTTTTTTTTTTGGTTTTTCGAGACAGGGTTTCTCTGTGGCTTTAGAGCCTGTCCTGGAACTAGCTCTGTAGACCAGGCTGGTCTCAAACTCACAGAGATCCACCTGCCTCTGCCTCCCAAGTGCTGGGATTAAAGGCGTGCGCCACCATCGCCCAGCTAAGAAAAACGATGTTTTAAATAGAGACTTTTTCCTTATTTTTCTCATAAGGGACAGGTCCTCACAGTTGTCTAGTGCAAATGGCAAGAAAGGAAGCTGGAAACAGCCCTGCTCTCTGCAGGATTCCCAGCATGCAACAAATACCCAGTGGATGAGCAAAGGCACAGTGAGTTCACAGAGTGCCATGAGCCCTACCTCCCCCTGGAGGCGTGGCTGCGGACAGTGTGCTCTACCCATACCTGGCTCGGTTCCCTGGGTCAGTCCTGGCGTGGGGCTCTCAGCTCTCTCCACACTTTGGCCATCAGAAGGAGCCAATGTGCCATCAGGGCATTCACTGCTTCTTTTCCTCTGCATGTCAGCAGCCATCTTTGGGGCTGTCCTATGAGGTAAAAACAAACAAACAAACAAATGCATCATGGAGGGAAAGAAGTGAAGTGCTGGTAGCCACTGGTGTAATCAATAGTGCTAAGCTTCTTACCAGGACCCCCTGAGTCAAATCCCTGGGAAATGACTTCTGGGTTTTCTTTCACAAAAAAAATTAAGTTTTAGCCAGGTGGTACTGGCTCACGCCTTTAATCCTCGCACTTGGGAGGTAGAGGCAGGTGGATCTCTGTGAGTTCAAGGCCAGCCTCGGCTACAAAGTGAGTTCCAGGGCAGGGCAGCCAGGTCTGTCTTGAAAAACTAATAAAAAAAAAATGAAGTTTTAAGGTTTTTTTTCTGGATGTGAAAATGAATGCACCTCTAATCCCAGGACTCAGGAGGCAGAGTTAGGAGAATTGCCCAGAGTACCAGGCTGGCTGCAGCAACATAGTAAAGCCTTGTTTTAAAAACTAAAACCTGGGGGCTGGAGAGATGGCTCAGTGGTTAAGAGCACTGCCTTCTCTTCCAAAGGTCCTGAGTCCAATTCCCAGCAACCACATGGTGGCTCACAACCATCTGTAATGAGGTCTGGTGCCTTCTTCTGGCCTGCAGACATACACACAGACAGAATATTGTATACATAATAAATAAATAAGTAAGTAAGTAAATAAATAAATAAATAAATAAATGTTTAAAAAATGTGTTTGTGGTAGACATACCTTCCTTAAAAAAATAAAAATAAAAACTAAAACCTGTTTCTCTCCCTCTCCATCCCATCTTCTCTCACCTTTTCTGGAAATTGAACCCAGGGCCTTGTACATAGTGGGTAGACACTTTACCACTGAACTGTATCCATCCATCATGTTCTTCTTCTGATTACAAAAGACACATTCATCACAGAAAGCATGGAAACACAGGAAAGTGTGGGGAAACCTCACTCATTCTCCCCACCGTTCAATCTTAAGACACGCTGACAGTGTTAGCTGCTATTATTATTTGCTCTTTTACTTTTTGTTTTTAAGGGTTTCACTGTGCAGCCTTGGCTGTCCTGGAACTCACTCTGTAGATCAGGCTGGCCTCAAACTCACAGAGATCCACGTGTCTTTGCTTCCTGGGTGCTGGGATTAAAGGCGTGCACCACATCAGTTTAAAAACATGCATTTTAACCTACATTTAAAATTACTTATTTGGGGGGGCTGGAGAGATGGCTTAGTGGTTAAGAACACTGCCTGTTCTTCCAACAGTCCTGAGTTCAATTCCCAGCAACCACATGGTGGCGGTGGCTCACAACCATCTGTAATAAGATCTGGTGCCCTCTTCTGGCCTGCAGGCATGCATGCAGACAGAATACTGTATACATAATAAATAAATAAATCTTTTAAAAAAAATTACTTTTTTAGAGTCAGGTGTAGTGGTGCACACCCTTAATCCCAACACTCAGGAGCCAAAGGTAGGTGGATCTCTGTGAGTTTGAGGTCAGCCTGGTCTACAGAGTAAATTCCAGAACAGCCAGAGCAGTTACACAGAGAAACTCTGTCTCAGAAAACTAAAAACAACAAACAAAAAAAATTATTTAGAAGCTAGAGAGATGGTTCAGTAGTTAAGAACACTCGTTTTTGCAGAGGATCTGGGTTCCATTCCCAGCACAAATAAGATACACAAAGGAAGAGGACCAGAAGGAAGTAACACTGTCAGGACAACCACCAGTATTTGTACAATAGCAGTTCCAGTACTTGGAAGGTTGAAGCAGAAGGATTGTTCAAAGTTTTAGGTCAGCCTGAAATACATAGTGAAACCCTGTCTCAAAAAAGTTCAAGTACAGTTAGAATGCTACAAAGTGTATGTGGGTTAATTTATCTAATTCAGAGTTGATTAACTTATATGAGCTAAGAACTGAGGCTGAGAGTTTGTCTGGTGTTACTACAAAGGAGGGGAGAACTTGATATAGGAATTGAAACACTTCTATAATTTCCCCATGAAAAACTGAATTTACCATGGACGGGCTGCATGCCTTTGATTGCAGCACCAGGACTGCAAAGGCAGGTAGATCTCTATAAGTTTGAGGTCAGCTTGAACTACAGAGACAAGGTCCAGGCCAGCCAGAGTTACAAAAAGAGACACTGTCTTAAAAAAAAAAAATAAGGGCTGGATGTGGTATTGTACATCTTTATCCCTGCACCTGGAGGCAGAGGCAGGAGGATCTCTCTGGCCAGTCTGGTTGTTATGGTTTTGGTCCTTTTAAGAGATCTAATCTGCTTTTTATTATAAGGAAGACCTGGGAATGTTATGGTATTGGTCCCTTTAAGAGACAACCCACGCCCACTCCCTCCCCCATCTGCTGAGGCAGGCTGATCTTCAGCTTCCGGCCTGAGTTCTCCCTTTCCATCTTCCTCTTCTGCCTCTCTCCCCACTTCTCTGCTTCCCCCCCCCTCTGTCTCTCTCTGTCTCTGTCTCTCTCTGTCTCTCTTTCTCTCTCTTTCTCTCTCTGTCTCTCTCTGTCTCTCTCTGTCTCTCTTTCTCTCTCTGTCTCTCTTTCTCTCTCTGTCTCTCTCTCTGTCTCTCTCTCTGTCTCTGTCTCTCTCTCCCTCTCTCTCTGTCCCCCCCTTCACCCTTCCTCCTCCATAACCCCCTGAATAAATTTCAACCTCACCCTGCACGTCGTGTCTATCCATGTTTCTGTCTTCTGCCCGCCCGCCACGTGTCTCCTTGCCTGGGACCAGCCACTGCTCAGGGACCAGCAGCCGTCTCTGCCTGGGGCCCACTGCCTGCTGCCACAGGGCCCGCTACCACCGCTCTGGGACCGGCAGCCATTTCTGCTTGGGACTGGCTGCGCCTAGAGCCCGCTGCCTGCCACCACATGGCCCTCCACCACCATTTGGGACCTACAGCATTTCTGCTGCCTACTGAGCGGGGATCTTGTAGCATTTTTTTAAAAAAGAACAACACTGGTCTATGACGTAGTGAGTTCCAGGATTTCCAGAGCTACATAGAGGGTCCCTGTCTGAAAAAAAAATTTTTTTTGAACTGATCAACAGGATTTTTTTGTTTGTATTTTTTGTTGTTGTTTTTGTTTTTTGAGGCAGGGTTTCTCCGTGTAGCCCTGGCTGTTCTGGAACTCACTTTGTAGATTTGGGGTTGCAGGTTATTTGTGAGGCTTGTTATCTGAATGCTGGATTTCAACTCCATTCCTCACGGTTTTGAGAAAACACTCAACCACTGAGCTATCCCTCCAGCTCCTGTCTGGAAATAATTCTGAGTAGCTTCCTTCCAAGCCGTGACCCAATCTACCAGCATCAGAACACGGCCTTCCACACGCTGTGGCAGGATTCCGTAGCCAGGAGATTATGTATAAGCTCTTAATACTTCAGAGTCAAAGCTGTCTAGGATTAGTGTCAAAGCTGAGGGGGCTGGGAAATGCAGAGAGTTCCACAGACAACTGCTAAGCAGTTAGATTTCTGCCACACCATCTCCAGATCTATTCTCTCTGGAATCTGTTACATCCAGATATTATTCTACCAATGACTCTCCGAATCAACTCCTGACATATGCTCATTCTCCCTCCCCCTCTTCCATCCCTTAGCCTATCTTTTTTATTTTTTTGGACCATGTCTCACTTTATGGCTAAGGCTGCTAAGGCTTTAAGGCTAAGGTTCCCTAAGAATGTCTCTTCTCCCAAGTCCTGGCATATCTTGGCTTACTTTTCTTTCCTAAAGCATTTCCACTCTTGGCTTCTAGTATACCACTCTCTTTCCTTAGTTCCCCCCCTGGTGGTTTCCTTGCAACTTCCATTTCACCCCAGCTTGATCTGGAAAGCCCCATCCCGTCTCTCTCCAAACCCTGCCCTCTCACACTATGTCCAATTAAGGGAAGGCACCAAAAAGCCTATTCTGCATTCCTGGCGGCCTCAGCAGTTCCTCCCCTGAAGTTGCCAGCAGCCCACCTACCTGGCTAAAGTGGTCAGCTTTTGACCATACTTGGGCCTAAACCCAGCTGTGGTGGACACATCATCACCCCTCAACCACAGGCTATATAACCTCCCTGCTTCAGTTCAGATGCACGACTTCTCTGGCCTCAATCTCTGGGACTGGAGAACTCACCTGAGAGTTGCTTTGCTTAAATAAACCTGCTATTTTACTTTTTCAATTCGGCTTGATCTGGCTTACCGCATTGCCTTGGTGGAGAAACCTATTATTCGTGGACAGAAAACCCATTATTTCGTGGACTACTCATCTGAGCCTTTTTACAGTTCCAATAGGAGGGGCCCAGAGTTCAGTTCTTGCTTCTCTTCTGTCTTCATTCAGGGCCTCTGTGATCTTTTTTTGGTTTCATAGTTTTAAATTACTTCTACACGTTAATGAATATGACTTTTGTTTCTAGCCCCAATCTTCCTTTTATTTACTGGCATACACACATAATTGTTTAGTTTGCTATCTTAAGCTTATGCGTCCAAAACCAAGATCCCAATTTATCCTCTCTTTAAAGGATGTTCCTTAGATTGGCAGTGGTGGTGCATGCCTTTATTCCTAGTTCGAGGCCAGCCTGGTCTATAAGAGCCAGTTCCAGGTCGGGCTCCAAAAGCTACAGAGAAACCCTGTCTTGAAAAAAAAAAAAAAAAAAGATGTTCCTTGCTAGGTGTGGTGGCACACACCCAAAATCGTAGCACTTGAAAAGGCACAAAGCAAGCAAGTTCTGTCTTATCTAAATGAGACCTTGTCTCAAAACAAACAAACAAAAAACACCCAAAAGACGAAAAGAGGAAGGGTAGTTGGAAGTTGGCTCAACAGTTAAAAATATTTACTGCTGTTCTAGAAGACCCAAGTTTGGTTCCCAGGCCTACAACTGCCTATAACCTCCACTCCAAGAAGCAGATGTCCTCTTCTGGCCTCCACAGGGCGTGCACACAAGTGGCAAACATTTACAGAGATATGAGGGATGACTCAGTCCATGAAGTGCTTGCCTTGCAACCAATGCCCATGCCCAGAACCAATGTGAAGATGCTGGGTTTAGGGCCATTTGTGATCCCAGTGCTGTGGAGGCAGACACAAGAGGATACATAGTCAGTTTAGTCTCCATGAGGCCCTGTCTTTTAACACAAAACTGAGCACTGTGGCTCAGGGCCTATAATCCCAAAACTTCATAGGCTAATGCCAGAAGGTTGCTGAAAGATTGGGGCTAGTCTGTGAGTGAGACCTTATCTCAAAGACAGACAAACAGCAGGGGATGAGGCTGTTGCTTTGTTCAATCTTCATCTCTGCATTAAAAAAAGCTCTGCATAGTGACATTCACTTCTAAACCTAGTGCTTGAGAAGTAGAGGCAGCAGCTTGGGATACCTAGCTTAAAAACTTAAAATAAGGGGCATGGAAAAAAAAATAAAATATAATGTAGGCAGAGGCTGTTGTTGTGGTACATGTCTGTAATCCCAGCACTTCAAAGGGTTGAGAAAAGTGTGTCACCGTCAGTCATGAGTTTGTGGGCATCCAGAACTAGAGTGAATCCAAGGCCAGTCTAGCTACAGTGTCTCAATAAAACCCAAATTAGGGCTTAGGGATATAACCTCGTTGATAGAGTGCCTGCCTATAATGCATAAAGCTCTGGGTTTGAGTCCTGCACTGTATAAAACCATGTATGGGACTAGGGAGAGCGCCCAGTTGCTAAAGCACTTGCCAGTTAAGCTTAAGAACCAGAGTTGAATCCTTTGTAAAAAAAAAAAAAAAAAAAAAAAAAAGCTGGGCAAGATGGGTGGTGGGGGCACATGCCTTTAACTCAGCACTTGGGAGGCAGAAACAGGCCGACGTCTGAGTCCGAGGCCAGCCTGGTCTGCAGAGTAGAGGAGGATAGCCAAGGCTACCCAGGGAAACCTTGTCTCAAAAAAAATCAAAAAGAGTAAGGGATTTTTTTTCTTCTGTTTTTGCAGAGGACTGCAATTCATTTCCTGGGATCCACGTTGGGTGGCTCACAACAACCAGCTCCTAGGAGACCCAATGCTCTCTTTTGGCCTCAGGCGCCCATACACACATATGTATACACACTCATATACATGAATAAAAGCTAAATCTTTAAATAAACAGGTGTATATTTAATACACACCTGTTATTTCAACTCTTGGGAGGTGGAGGCAAGAGGATCACAAGTTAATTTCCTTAACTATACGAGTTTGAAGTCAACCTGGGATATATGTCTCAAAAACATAGTAAGTGGGGTCTGAGAGATGGCTCAGCAGTTTAGATCAGAGCATATACTTCTCTTGGAGAAGACTTGGGCTTGATTCCCAGCATCCTGGTTAGGCAGTAGACAACTGCTTGTACTCCAGCTCCAGTGGCTCCAATGCCCTCTTCTGGCCTCTTAGGGTACTACACTCACATGCACAACTCCCCTCCTCCACATAAACAAATAAAATAAAATAAAATTAAAATAAATTTAAATAAAATTAAAATATTAAAAATGAGTAAATAATAGTGGGAGGAAGACAGCAAGACAAAAATGGTTCCTTTCACAAAATAACTTATGAATGTTAAGTGATAAATGCTTGTAGCTAATAATTGATAATTTCTTTTTCTTTTTTTTCAAGATAGGGTTTCTCTGTACAGTCCCGGCCTTCTCGGAACTCATTCTGTAAACCAGGCTGGCCTTGAACCCAGAGATCCACCGATTTCTGCCTCCTGAGTGCTGGGAATAAAGGTGTGCGCCACCACACTGGGCTCAATAGACGACCATTTCTTATCTATTCCGTGATTATCTGATCGGTCCAAGCCACCATTATCTCTCTAGCAAATTATTGCCACAACCTCCTTACCAGTCCTGCTGTGTCCCCCACCACTCTGCTCTGGCATTCAAGGTGACTCTGGAAACAGGTCAGGTGACGTTCCTCTGCTCACAGGTCTGCAATACCTTCGCCTCACTTAGCAAGAAAATCAGCTTCCTCCTGAAGGCACAAGGCCCTTCCCCCTTATTTCTCCAAGCTTATTTTCTGCCCCTTCTTCCCACCCCTTTGCTACATCAGCTCAGCTTATCCTGAACAGCTCTTCACGTAACCTTTGCCCTTACTCTAACCTCACCCGGCTTCCTTTATAGCCCTTTCTAGGCTAGTCCATGACTCACTCCCTCACTTCAGCTTGTTGCTGAAGCACCTTACCAGAGAGGCCTTTCCCGCAATAAACCTCTTCACTCTGATTTTTTTTTCTAGATTGAAGGCCACCCTCCATGTGGCCTGCTACACACGAGACATATACAGGGGAATTAAACCAACATCTAATGAATAAGTATCTTTGGCAGAGAAAGAAAATGAAAGGTCTGTGACAAACACCAGCTTTACAGGTACCTGGGATCAGGCAAGAAAATCTTTGTCTATAGAGACAGCTTGTCTTTGAAAGTAATCAAGTCTTCAGGAAAAACAGCTCTGTAGTTAGAGGGACTGGTATTACTGGTCTCAGTTTTCTCACTTATAAAATGGTATGGAATGAAAGCCGGACAGTGGTGGCACACGCCTTTAATCCCAGCACTTGGAAGGCAGAGGCAGGCAGATCTCTGTGAGGCCAGTCTGGTCTACAGAGCAAGTTCCAGGACAGCCAGAGCTATTGTTACACCGAGCAATCCTGCCTGAAATAATTAATTAATTAAAACAAGCAAGCTATGGAATGGAGATATCCTTCAAACAGCTGCCTCTGATTTATGGGGTGGTAAGACTAAATGAGATAATACACGTGATCTGGCTATATAGAGTAGGCATATCATATACTCAGTTGCTGTTATTAGCACATTGTGGTCATTCTTAGCATTCAGACTGCCAGAGCCGGTGGTCTCTGTCCTGCAAATGAATTTGGAAATTTGCTCAGTAAGCCAGTACCTGATGGATGACCTTAGGAAGCCAGGTGAACTCTAGTTTGGAGGCTTCCCCACAACCCCCACCCCAATGTCAGGTCAAAGAGTCATCCATGCACCTCAGCCTCAGAGTACCAAGCAAACTGACTGATCTCAGGCTCTTCCAAGTTTACCTCCTGGGTTTGCATAATTCCCCTCTTTGTGGTCTTGTACTTCTGGTTTAAAGACCCAAACAAGTTCTACACCAGCTTCACTCTGTCAGTATGCCTTTTGTGCTTCCAGTAAGGAGCCCCAGTGTTTCTGAGTGTACTCTGCCTGGTACCTGCCTGGGGAAGGGATCAGGGTCAGCTGTCTAAGCTTTTCTCACAACAATTCCTCTGCCGTGTGAGATCACACAGCATCTTTATCCTCTCCGAGGTCAGGCCTGGTGAAGCAAACAGCTTTTTGGATGCCCACCCTCTCAGGCAGGAAGGTAGAGTGGATCAGGTCAAGCCCACCTCTCACCTCCACTGGAGCTTTAACTTTTGCAGCTGACGCTCCTGGAAAACTGGGCCTGAAGCAGTTAGGCATGAAGCTCCAGAAATCTCCACAGGAACACTTTTTAGACAGCTCCTCTAAATGTCCGCAGGGCATGCAACTTTTCCTAGAAGCTCCCAGTAGCCTGTGAGTGATGCCACCTAATGAACTGGTGTTACCCCTCCCTCAGAGGGCTCCTGAGAGGGGAGGGTCTTGCAAAAGCCCCTTCTTACTGGCTCCTAACCACCTTGATTCTCCTCCCCGTTCTGACAGGGATACGCCTTTGGCCTTGACCGTTTGGTCTACCCGGCGGGGTGAAGTCGACTGTTTGACGGAAGGGGCCAGTTGAGGCTGTGCTGTGGGTGTTTGGGCAGGACGCCTACTTTACACTGAGCCTAGCCTGATCCTGGTCACCTCTGGAGGCCACTCCCCTTCCTGACAAAGGCTGCTCACATTTCCCAAGCAAACTCCCCTAGTGTAAGGGCAGCCTTGAGAACGAAGTCGCAAGACTGCGACCCTTCCATGAGCTCACTCCACCTCTCAGTCGCTGTTTAAGAGACCTCTAAGGGCCAAATACGTCCGAATTGGGGGTTGGTGTCTTACCCAGCTACTGCTGCCTATGCGACATTGCCCTCCCGGCCAAAGAATGAGTTCTCGCCTCATCATTCATATTGCCCAGTTGGGGCCAGCTGGCTGACGGACCCCAAAGAGACGCACTACTCCTATCGGTGCAGTAGATGGCCGGGACCCCCCAGTTTTCAAGCCCCTCCCTCTAAAGATGACAGCTTGCCCGCCTCTCGCCGCCCCCAGGCCACGTGGGTTGGCAGTCGAACTCACCTGTTTCTTGGGGGAACACAGGACCTACGGAGGGTGCCACTCACTGCCCTCTGCCAGACCCCTGGGGGGATATGAGTGTCCAGCCGTGCCTGGCCTGAGAGTGCAACTTCGTGGGGCTACCGCCCCTGGAGGATACAGACATGGCCACAGCCGATGAACCGATCTCTCCTGCTCACCCTTAACCGGTCACCGGCACAGGAAGACAGCTTTCACCGGCCTGTGGTGGCGGAGGCCCGGTTCCAGCCGCTTGGCCAGTCCCAGCCCGCCCCTCAGTGCATTGTGGGAAATGTAGTCCGTAGCTCTCCGCAGCCTAAGCACTGCGGGAGCGGTTCCGGGCTCTGGAGCCCGGCAGAGCCAGAGGCGGGGTCTGACCCAGGTCCCGGGTTGCCTCACCTGGCTCCGCCTTCTTCCGTGTCTTAGAGGCCGGCTCCCTACTCCTCCCCCAAAGTGCCGTAGAGGTTTGCTTCAAGGCACGATAAAGGACCTTGGTGTCTCCTCACTGATCGTAGGAGGAAAATGTGATTTTAGGAAATTGGATAAATGTCGTTAGTGAACCCAGCCACACTGATGGATGTAGACATATCGAAAAGGCGCACGAATTGTTGCTTTAAAAACTGTTGCTTACCCAGGTCTCAGTATATTAGTATAAGAATCTAGAAGGCGCAGTTCTCAACGCTTCGCATAGACTGACCTGGGTGCTTTTAAAAAGCATTAATGCCCGGACACCGTCCCTAGAGATCTTTACTTAATTGGATGAATGTGGGAACGAAGCATCGGGTTTATATGTTACAGCTCCCGGGTGATTTCTAAGGGTAAGGAACCACTGCTTGTAATTTTCTAGGCACAAGGAACAAAACAAGAAAACAAGTTTTCCCAGCAGTCCTTACTTTTGTTTGGAGAACAGTTTAAAGAAGCAAAATCAGGGCATGACAATAGTATATTTCATATTTTCTCACTTCAGTTTGCTCACTTCTTTAGCTTCATGGTTAACTATCCCAATAGTTCTGGGTGAAGAACAGAAGTCAGAAACCTCTGACGCTTCCTTGCTGTTGCCGGCATATGTATGACTGACGTGGTGACAAAGCTGTGATCTTTTTCCTGGAGACAGCTTTGCACAGGGTGATTAGAACCTGGCAAGTTCCCATGTGAGAGTTCATTCCCTTAGATTGGAGTGGAACTTCTCCAACTTACCACATATCTTTCAGGATTTTCCCTCTTCCTGAGCCCAGGGTTCCAGGTTCCCTACCTTGAGTCAAATAAAATTTATACAGTTTTGTTCTATATACTTCATTTCATATTATGTTTCAAGATATTTGATTACACTATGTAAAGATCTGCCACTGTGATTGGTTTAATACGTTAAATGGCCAATAGCTAGGCAGGGAGGATAGGCAGAACTTCCAGGTGGAGAGAGAGAAAGAAGGAGGAACCCAGGCTCAGAGAAAGAGAGATGCCAGAGGAAACAGAAGGTACAAGATGGAAAAGAGCTGGGCAGTGGTGGTGCACGCCTTTAATCCCAGCACTCGGGAGGCAGAGGCAGGCAGATCTCTGTGAGTTCAAGGCCAGCCTGGTCTACAAGAGCTAGTTCCAGAACAGACTCCAAAACTACAGAGAAACCTTGTCTCAGAAAAAAAAAAAAGATGGAAGAGAGGTAATAGCATGTGATAGAATATAGATTAAAATAAATGGGTTTATTTAAATTGTAAGAGCTAATTAGAAAAAGCCTATGCTGTAGGCCACGCTTTTATAATTAAATTTTCACTAATTTCGTACTCCGTGTCATTATTTGGGAGCTGCTGGCAGGACAGAGAAATACTCATTACAAAGGAGTCTAAGGCAAGAGTTTTCTTTGTGTGATGATGGGGATTGAACCCAGAGCCTTGCCCATGCCAACAAGTACTCTACCATTGAGCCTTAGCCCTAACTCTAGAACAGTGGTTCTCAACCTGTGGGTCTTGACCCCTTAGGGTGGCATATCAGCTATTTATATTATGATTCATAACAATAGCAAAATTACAGTTATAAAGTATCAACAAAAATAATTTTATGGTTGGAGTCCCCACAACATGAGAAATTGTGTTAAAGGGTCTCAGCATTAGGAAGGTTGAGAACCACTGCTCTAAACTGGTGGTGGTGGCACATGCCTTTAATCCCAGCACTCAGGAGGCAGAGGCAGGTGGATTTCTGTGAGTTCGAGGCCAGCCTGGTCTACAAGAGCTAGTTCCAGGACAGGCTCCAAAACCACAGAGAAACCCTGTCTCAAAAAACCAAAA